TAAATAAAAAATACTTATTTTTGCCCTGTTTTTTTGCTAAGTACTCATTGAAAATTGTCTTATTAAGGTTGCATTCCTAATTTCTTTTTCTTTTTTTTTCATTGTTTATGTTTAAACTAAATCTTGCAATAAATATAAACTATAAATGAAAAATAGGTCCGATATAATAAAATTGTATAATTATAATGGGTTAATAATAAGTTGACGTAACAAAATACATTTCTCTTTTGTGTTTATCATTAAAATCATTAAAATCAGGGTCCTTCAAAAAAAAAAAATGGTCTAGAAACGCGATATGTAAACATTCCTGGCTTCAATTAAACATGTCTCGGTATAACTAGGTATTTTTGCTACATTTTTGTAAATGTCCAAAAAGGGTCTAAAATCAAATACATTTTAGAGCAAAAAATTAAATTTCTAACTGCAGTATGTTCTTAAAAAAAATTAACTTGTGAAAAAAAAGAAAATATTTCAGAAAAAAATTTTTTAAAGCCATGGTCTGTTGAAAAATATAGATTAACCAGTTTGACAAATAGCGCCATTTTGAAAATGCACCATATTATAATATATACATCAAATATCTGTAAATATTATCGTGAAATATTATTACATCTTTACATGATACCGTTAAATAGCATGTTTTCTCTGTAAAATCTACTTCCATTTTGTCATTTGTACAATATAATTATGATTTAAAAAAAGCTTATGAAACCCAGAGACCTATCTTTAGATATGAGCTATAGACACCTTGAAACATCATTTTATGATTTGATTTTTGAATGGTGATGTACTATGCCAGATAGATAACCTAATGATATGACTCAGCCGAGACATGTTTTTCGTAAAATAAAGTCCGACTCCAGATCATTCTATTTGAAAGACCCTGTTAAAATGAAGCCTTTACTTCTAGTAGCTAGATATTCTGAATAGTTATTCTAATTTTTTTCTAACATGTGCATAGTTTGAAAAGGACAACTCTGTCTTATCTATTTGTAATGGAGGGAGACCACAAAGTGCTTTGTTTCTTGCATTTTCATGTTTTCGCCTGATGCCCCTGATGCAAAATACAAATCAGTCTATCATCATGATCATATAAAAAATGTTAATTTTTTATCTGTACAAAAAATAGATATTGTACATGTATTAGTACAGTTATGTTTACTTTCGAATTGACCTGTTGTAAATAATAGCAAAATCAATAACTTTCTAAGCCCTTTTTAGTAAAAATAATGATACAATATATAAATTGTTATTTTGATTAAGACTATGAGTATGTAAGTATTTTTTTCTTATTTGTTTAATTAAGAATTAATCTTCTTGTTAATTTAAAATTCTAAAAGTATCTGTCACGGTTTAGAACTGTTCACTATTTAGGGGAGAAAATGTGTAAGCGGCCAGATAGCTCAATCACTACAGCTACGGTACATTATTCTGTGGGTCACAGGTTCGAGTTCTGGTCAAGCTGAAGTTTCTCTCATCCTATGACTGCATATAACCATGAGTTTAATTCACTATGCTTTGTAAACATCAGATATTCAAGGACAAAAATCAATATGGTGGGAAATATGTTGTGGTTTATAACTGTTTCATTATTAAAGAGGAAATGTGTAGCCTGCCTGATAGCTCAGTTAGTCTTCTGACAGTCATGGGTTCGAGTCATGGTCCGGCAGTTTCAGTCAGAGTTTAGAAGTGGTTTTTCAACTGACACATGTAACAGATTGTAGAAAATTTGAAATAGACAAAGGCAGTATTGCATGATACTTTTAGATCTACAAAAGGCATATGATACAGTTGATCACACTATACTGCACATGAAGAAGTTCTTTATGTTCTTCATGAAACTTCAAGCATCTGCCATAGGAAATGACATTCTTAAATGGTTCAAATCTTATCTATGATAGACAGCAGCTGGTGGATGTGGCTGGTACTCATTCTACTACTACTCCGAGTACCTATGGTGTCCCCCTGAGGTTCATTTTAGGTCCTCTTTTATGTCTAATATATGTCAATGACATGTCTGCAACCCTAAGCAGTAAGCTTTTATTATATGCTGATGACTCAGGTATCCTTGTATCTGGTTAAATAAATCTGATGAAATTCTCTCTTATGGCATGAGTCTTATAAGATTGGTTAATTGACTATAAATTATCTTTGCATCTTTGCAAGACAGAGTCTATTCTTTTGGCTTTAACAGGGTCCTAGCCTCCAGGTCACATGTAATGGTACTGCTATATCAAACACATCTTTTGTTAAGTATTTAGGTGCAAAACTTGGATCAAATTCTTTTTGGTGTCACCTTTGATGCTTTGCATCAATGCTTTTCTAGTATTGTATTGGATGTTTCTGTAAAGTTAGCTTGTTAGCAGAAATTTAAGGATATTAATATCATTTTAGATTCTGGAATTTTTCCTGAAGTTTTGAGTAAAGGGATTATTTTACCAATATGTGAATATAATAGATAGATTTCAATTAAAATTATATGCACTCATATTAAATTTGAAACAAACTACTCCAAATTGTATGCTTTATGGAGATTTAGGGATATTACCTTTATCTATTCATATAAAAAGTAGAGTTTTGTGCTTTTGGAATAAGATTTTAAGTAGTAAACAAGAATCAATAAGCCATATCTTGTATGATATATCACACTCTTTGTATTGTAGAAATGTGTTGAAACTCCCATTGATGAATAGTGTTTGTAAATTACTAAATTCACTGGGTTTATCAAATTTTTGGATTAATAATGTTTCCACTTTAAGAAAATTGTTAAAAATAGACTGAAATATCAGTTCATTCAAAATTGGCATAGTGAAATGTCAGAATCCAGTAAATGTCTGAATTATAGAAAGTACAAAAGTGAATTCAGACTTGAAAAGTTTCTAGATATTTTACCATCTCATTTACCTTTGGTACTATTGCGCTTTAGATGTATGAACCATAAATTGCCTATTGGGTCTGGTAGATCTCGCAATATACCAAGAGAATTAAGAGTGTGTATTACTTTTGCAATTCTAGCTTGCTTGGTGATGAATATCATTACTTATTTAATTGTCAATTCTTTATTACTGATAGAAAAAATATATTACCAGAGAGTAAAGTACTAATGTTAATTCAGTCAAGTTTTCTATGTTAATGAATTGCACAGATAGGAGTATATTGTTAAAACTTGCAGTATTCTCTCATAAAAATATATCAGCATTTAAGTAACTGATCACTAAGCTTATTTTCATAATGTTAACACTTTCATTTTTATGCCCCCACAATGTGGGAGCATATAGCGTTGCACTTGTCCGTTTGTCCATCAGTCCGTACGTCCCGAAATCTTGTGAACGCAACTCCTCTAAAACCGGATGGCAGATTTTGCTTAAACTTACAGGGATGAACAACCTTAATGTGTAGATGGTAGTAAAGGAAGGAATTTTTGCTGTGACCAAATTTAACAGAATTATGGCCCTTTGTTGATTTTTTCCCTAGATACTATGTAGAAATTTTGTGAACGCAACTCCTCTTAAACCGGATGGCAGATTTTGCTTAAACTTACAGAGATGAACAACCTTAATGTGTAGATGGTAGTAAAGAAAGGAATTTTTGCTGCGACCAAATTTAACAGAATTATGGCCCTTTGATGATTTTTTCACTATATACTATGTAGGAATTTTGTGAACGCAACTCCTCTTAAACTGGATGACAGATTTTGCTTAAACTTACAGAGATGAACAACCTTAATGTGTAGATGGTAGTAAAGGAAGGAATTTTTGCTGTGACCGAATTTTACAGAATTATGGCCCTTTGTTGATTTTTTCACTATATACTATGTAGAAATTTTGTGAACGCAACTCCTCTTAAACCTGATGGCAGATTTTGCTTAAACGTCCAGGGATTAACACCCTTAATGTGTAGATGGTAGTAAAGGAAGGAATTTTTGCTGCGACCAAATTTAACAGAATTATGGCCCTTTGTTGATTTTGAGTTTTCAACTTGTGGGACATGTAGTCCAAAAAATATTTGACCTAGAGTCATAAGATTGACAGAACAGTGGCGTGTGGGGGCATCCGTGTCCTATGGACACATTTCTAGTTGATTATTGTTTGCCATGTAGTACATTAGTATATTTTGTGGATATCTCTTTATGACATGTCATATTATATGTATATTATTGTATATGTGACTGATGTCAGGATTTTCAATAAACTGTTCAAACTGTTCAGGATACGTCTGTGACAAATGTCTCGTACAATTTTGTGAACTGTTTTGTATGTCCAATTGTATGTACATTATATGAAAGGATTTGTGAGAAAAGTTTACATTTGGTTTTCATATTTCCTTTCTTCCAAATTCCCGCAAACTACCCTTTCTCCAGATCACTTCGTCTTTATTCTCACATGAGTATAGATACACTTATTATACTTATTTAATTTCTATTTGTTTATTTAATTGATTTTTTTAATAGGAAATATCGTATTATTAAGTTATTTTCATTCTTCAATTCATTCAATTACTTGACATATTCTTTTTATTTACATCTATAAATTTTTGTATTTTATGGATTTTTTAACGAACTTGTACTATAGTTATGTATTTATGTTTTTAGACTTTTTCTCCGTATATAGAAACGAATCTACTCCACAAGTTGGTGATTATTCTACCCTGTGGCATTATACAAATATACTCAAATTCATTTACTTATTTTAGATATTGATGAGTGCGCTATTGGAACCGACTGCTGTAGCGGTACAACAAGCTTGTGCACTAACACTCAGGGTAGTTTTACATGCAGCTGTGATGAGGTCACATATACACTTGACTCTGATAACTGTGCATGCATCGGTAAAGACTTTGTTTGACTTCGTCTTGTTCTTGCTTAGTAACAAAACTCTCAAAATTTATATGCCACTGATATGTTGAACTCCTTCATTATGTCACTTTTTTTGTTAATTCACTGAAAAGCACAGTCAGAGAAGGTTTACCACTTCCGGGAATGTTTTGATATTTTCACCAACTTTCGTCAGTTATATAGATTATTAAGTGTGATGAGTCTTAAAGAATGTCATAATTGTTAATGTCGGAGTTATGGTATTTATTCAGTAGTTTCAGATTACCCAGAATAATCAACATCATAGTATAGTGTTAGTTAAAGTATATTTAACTGATGCCTTTCCAACCCACAGGATATGTTTTATATATCTTCTTTAACCTTTTCCCTGATATAAGCGTGTTTCGATGGCTTTTTGCCACCCACCCCCCTCCCACTTTTGAGGCTTCAAGAAGTGAAACAATGCCCTTTTTAATATTTAGGGCCCAAACACTGTTTTTCATTTGGGGGGTTTGATGGGGGCGGTAGTCCCCCTCATTGCCAAGAAAATTTTGGACATGTGACAGTCTAAAAATGGCCTCAGCTCGATCTTAAGGTGACGTGTAGCCAATGCTGAAGAGCCTTTTACTCTATCACATTGCATTGAGAAGTTGCAGCACTTTGAAATCAGTTTTGATGGGAAAAAAAGCAATGCAAAATAGTGATTTTTCACAATTTTGAGATGTGCCCTAATTGCCATGGTATCAGGAAATTTAAACTTGAGCATGTTGTTACAGAGGTTATGGTTCAGTCCACAAACGTGCCAAGTTTCATCAGTATTGAAGTATTTTTCATAGTTTTATAGCAGTTGGAACTTGTAACAGGAGGATTTTCAATGAAAACGGCCATTTTTTTCACAATATGCTCAAGGGGTAAAAGGTTAATTGCCTTAAATTGGCATATTATTTTGTTGAACTAAAATAATTTAATTATAAGGTTGAATGAATTTGACCTTCATTACTCTTTTTAATTATGGAGTATGAAGACAATAAACCGATTCTGAGTATTGGTCGTTTATATCATTGGCTGTAAACTTTTTTGTCTTTTTCACCCCTAGATCACATGTTGAGGTTCTAATTTACACTTCTCACCCACCCAAATTGTGTGTTTGTTTGTATAGCGTATGGTACAATATTTTAATTTGTATAAGTCATGTCATTTTATTGTTTGACTATTTGCTGGATATGAATATACTACTGTAATGATTATTTGGTTATCATATGGATAGACAAAGCCATTCCAATTGAGTTTCATGTTTCATGAAACAAATTTTCTAATTTGTACTTGATGAAAGAATCATTTATATGAATGTGAAACATGTGATCTCCATTTACCTAATTATAACAATATCAAAATTTCTCTTGTGCTTTCTTTTAAATGAAAAAAAAAATTGTTACTTAAAAGAGATAAAAATTAAATGTACATGTAGTAAGATTTGATAGAGTGAAATATTTGTTTGCGTGGAAGTACTTGAATATTCAACTTTAATTCAGGTTAAATGCATTTTTTTGTTTCTACAACAACAAGACAGCGTGTTTGTTTTCATCAGAAAGTAATTATTGTAAGATGTGATTTCAATGAAGGTGATATTTTCATGTTTGTTGAAATTCTGGGTTCATTTAACAAAAGAAATTGCAGTGTTTGATTTTTAATTCTAATTCATTTATCACAAAAATCTGATGCAGATCCACATACTCAAGCATATGGCAACTGTCAACTAAAAGTGGTATACAAATTGTAAAATAAAGCTATCACAATCTTTTGTAGATGCTAGTATTCCTTATATACGTACTTGAACTTGTTATCAAATGAAATATAGTTTTTATTGTACATTCTTGTGTTGCTCTCACCCTAACAATGTATTTATAGTACATGTATTTCATTTTTTATAATTTAATAAATGCAGACATAGATGAATGTGACACAAGCCCTTGTAGTGGACCAACTAGTACATGTAATAACTATGATGGTGGGTTTAGCTGTTCATGCGGGACAGGATATGAATTGAATGGAAACGTTTGTGTTGGTATGTTACTTTTAAAATGTCAATAAATCATAGGATTTATTTCAACTAAGCATGATCTGGGAACATGATAATTATCATAATAGAAACATGTGGAGAAAACAGAACTTGGGGACCGCCTATCTCATTTGTGAGTTTTCTGCTTTTATTTGCATGTTACAAGGGCAAATAACTCACCACTAAGGAAAGCAATGTCTAAAATTTCTTCAGCTTTAAATGAAGAAGATTTCCATTGGAGTAATTGTGTAAAATTTCAAATATTTATTCAAAGCAGTTTTTTTGTTATTTTTTTGGTAAAACTGTAAAAAAAGAAAATACGAAGTCTTTCAATAAAAGAACAATAGCTGCCTCTAATACAAAGACAATTTTTCAAACTTATTTTTTAGAAATTTAAGAATTTATTCTCCACTAACAAAAATAGAAATTAATACATGTAATTTCAATTTTGTTTATTTCTCCATACATTTTTGAACACTCTGGTTGAAAATGAAGCACACATCTTAATCTGATTCAAACTGTCACTGAACCTGCTTCCAGTTGTAAACATATTTTATCGTATGTGTATCAAAATTTGATTATATGACAGGGACACACTCTTAGAAAAATGCCTTCCTGCATGATAAGAAGACAAATGTTATTTTTCAGACACTGATGAATGCCCTAATGGATGTTCTGGACCAAGTAGCTCATGCCAAAATACTGTTGGAAGTTTTGTGTGCTCATGTGGGGCTGGTTTCTCCTTATCTGGAACTACATGTAACGGTATAATTATGTTGACATTAATTCCACTGAGGTTTTTTTGAAGTGACTGGACTGAAAAGATTAAATACAATTTTATGTAGGTCAGGACAAGTAATTTGTGTGCAAAATTTGTGATCATTCGCTATGTTACTTAAGAATGATAATTTTAAATGTGCAAAATGACCAAAACTGAAAATCATACTTGCTGTCATATAAATGTATCACATATCATTGTATTTAAAGTAAGTATTACTATTAATATATGCAGACATAGATGAATGTGACACAAGCCCTTGTAGTGGACCAACTAGTACATGTAATAACTATGATGGTGGGTTTAGCTGTTCATGCGGGACAGGATATGAATTGAATGGAAACATTTGTGTTGGTATGTTACTTTTAAAATGTAAATAAATCATAGGATTTATTTCAACTAAGCATGATCTGGGAACATGATAATTATCATAATAGAAACATGAGGAGAAAACAGAACTTGGGGACCGCCTATCTCATTTGTGAGTTTTCTGCTTTTATTTGCATGTTACAAGGGCAAATAACTCACCACTAAGGAAAGCAATGTCTAAAATTTCTTTAGCTTTTAATAAAGAAAATTTCCACTGGCGTAATTGTGTAAAATTTCACATATTTATTAAAAGTTGTTTTTTTTTTTTTTTTTTTTTTTTTTTTGTTTGTTTTTTTTTTTTTTGTAAAACTGTAAAAAAAAGAAAATACGAAGTCGTTCAATGAAGGAAAAATAGCTGCCTCTAATACAAAGACAATTTTTCAAACTTATTTTTTAGAAATTTAAGAATTTATTCTCCACTAACAAAAATAGAAATTAATACATGTAATTTCAATTTTGTTTATTTCTCCATACATTTTTGAACACTCTGGTTGAAAATGAAGCACACATCTTAATCTGATTCAAACTGTCACTGAACCTGCTTCCAGTTGTAAACATATTTTATCGTATGTGTATCAAAATTTGATTATATGACAGGGACACACTCTTAGAAAAATGCCTTCCTGCATGATAAGAAGACAAATGTTATTTTTCAGACACTGATGAATGCCCTAATGGATGTTCTGGACCAAGTAGCTCATGCCAAAATACTGTTGGAAGTTTTGTGTGCTCATGTGGGGCTGGTTTCTCCTTATCTGGAACTACATGTAACGGTATAATTATGTTGACATTAATTCCACTGAGGTTTTTTGAAGTGACTGGACTGAAAAGATTAAATACAATTTTATGTAGGTCAGGACAAGTAATTTGTGTGCAAAATTTGTGATCATTCGCTATGTTACTTAAGAATGATAATTTTAAATGTGCAAAATGACCAAAACTGAAAATCATACTTGCTGTCATATAAATGTATCACATATCATTGTATTTAAAGTTAGTATTACTATTAATATATGCAGACATAGATGAATGTGACACAAGCCCTTGTAGTGGACCAACTAGTACATGTAATAACTATGATGGTGGGTTTAGCTGTTCATGCGGGACAGGATATGAATTGAATGGAAACATTTGTGTTGGTATGTTACACTGTTAAAAAATCATATATTTTTTACCAAAGATCTTTCTAACTTCTGATATTGTGGTATTATTAAACTTAGATCACCCAAACTTACAGTAGGTCAAATGTGACTAGATATTGTGGCAATATTAAACAGAGATCATGCTGGTTAAGTCAAGTGTGACTGGATATTGTTGCATTATTAAACATAGATTATGCTAGCTTCAGTCAAATGTGACTGGATATTGTGGCATTGTTAAACATAGATCATGCTAGCTTAGGTCAAGTGTGACTGGATATAGTGGCAATATTAAACATAGATCATGCTAGCTTCAGTCAAATGTGACTGGATATTGTGGCATTATTAAACATAGTTCATGCTAGCTTAGGTCTAGTGTGACTGGATATTTTGGGATTATTAAACAAATATCATGCTAGCTTAGGTCAAGTGTGACTGGATATTGTGGCATTATTAAACATAGATCATGCTAGCTTCTAAGGTCCAGTTTGACTGCATATCTGGCATTATTAAACATAGATCATGCTAGGTAAGGTCAAGTGTGACTGGATATTGTGGCATTATTAAACTTAGATCATGGTAGGTTAGGTCCAGTTTGACTGCATATTGTGGTATTATTAAACATAGATCATGCTAGCTTAGGTCAAGAGTGACTGGATATTGTGGCATTATTCAACATAGATCATGATAGCTTAGGCCAAGTGTGACTGGATATTGTGGCATTATTAAACATAGATCTACCTTAGGGAACGTCGGTCGTTCTACTCAGGTGCCTGTTCATGCCTGAAATAATGCACGGAGGGGCACCTGTGGTTTTACTCCACCAATAAAGCTAGAATTTTGCGATATGACCTATACTGTGTTGATGTGATGTTAAACCCAAATAACAAAAATAAACATAGATCATGCTAGCTAAGGTCTTGTGTGACTGGATATTGTGGCATTATCAAACTTAGGTCATGCTAGCTTAGGTCAAGTGTGACTGGATATTGTGGCATTAGTAAACAGAGATCAGGCTTGCTTGCATTATTAAATAAAGATCATGCCAGCTTAGGTCCAGTGTGACTGGATATTATGGCATTATAAACATAGATCACGCTAGCTTAGAACAAGAATGACTGGACATTTTGGCATTATTAAACAAAGATCATCGTAGATTAGGTCCAGTGTGACTGGATATTTTGGCATTATTAGTCCCCTACCGGTTTAACCGGAGGGGACTTTAGGTTTACCCTCCGTCTGTCTGTCCGTCTGTCTGTCAGTCTGTCAGTCCGTCCGTCCACAAAACTGGATCCCGCGATAACGCAAAAAGTACTGAAAATATTTTTATGAAACTTGATATATGGATAGATGGCAGTATGGAGATTATGCACGTCTTTTTTTTTTCTTCCTATGTTGAAAAATCTGGTTGCTATGGCAACAAATAGTCTGAAAATATGGCAAATTTAACACATAAACTGGATCCAGTGATAACTCAAAAAGTACTGAAAATATTTTTATGAAACTTGAAATATGGGTAGATGGCAGTCTGGAGATTATGCACATTTTTTTCTTTTCTTCCTATGTTGAAAATTCTGGTTGCTATGGCAACAAATAGCCTGAATTTCAAGATTTCTAATTTAAATTTTTCAGCTTTTTCACTATATGTTCTTTATTTCTTAAGGTGTTTACTTCAAACTTTAAATATAAGTTTCTGGTCATCAACCACATCATATGTGACAAGGTTTATAACTCTAGCACAAAAAATATCAGTATTACCTCCCTTGAACTTAGATTTTTTAGGGGAAAAAATGTTGTTTTTTTTAAATAACTTCTTTATTTCCTTATGTATCTACTTCAAACTTCATATATATGTTTCTTATTATCACTCGACATTTTTGAGAAGGTTAAATACTCTAGCAAGACTATTTCCAGAATTATGTCCACCTTGAACTTAGATTTTTTTCAAGAAACTGGTATTTTCACTCCAACTTCTTCATTCCTTATAGGATTTACTTTAAAATCCCACATCGTAATAATATGACAAGGTTGTATAAACATAATTTCCTTACTAAGCATGGAAACTTAACACATTACTGTGATATAGACAAACTTATTTTATTATGATAACCGCCTCCGTGGTCGAGGGGTTAGAGTCGATGACTTCTAATCCAGTTACCTCTCTGGCGTGGGTTCGATCCCCGGGAGATGCTTTGGTAGTTTAGCGCGGAGGAAGGTAGTCTAGTACTGGTGTAACTCTCCAGGAACGATGGATAGGAAACTACCCGCCTATATGACTGAAATACTGTTGGAAAAAGGCGTAAAATGAAACAAACAAACAAACAAACAATATTTTATTATGTTTTGTGGTTGATATTTTCAAATACAGACTTCATCCTCAAATTCATTATAAATGGCAATACACAAGAGTGTATGACAATTAAAGAACTTTTTGAGGGACCGGTAGGGGACTACTGTATTGCCCGCAATACTATCAAATGCTTGTTAAACATAGATTATGCTAGCCTAGGGCCAGTGTGACTGGATATTTTGGCATTATTAAACAAAGATCATGCTAGCTTAGGACAAGTGTGACTGGACATTGTTGCATTATTAAACATAGATCATGCCAGCTTAGGTCCAGTGTGACTGGATATTATGGCATTATAAACATAGATCACGCTAGCTTAGAACAAGAATGACTGGACATTTTGGCATTATTAAACATAGATCATGCCAGCTTAGGTCCAGTGTGACTGGATATTATGGCATTATAAACATAGATCACGCTAGCTTAGAACAAGAATGACTGGACATTTTGACATTATTAAACATAGATCATGCTAGCTTAGGTCCAGTGTGACTGGATATTGTGGCATAATAAACATAGATCATGCTAGCTTAGGTCAAGTGTGAATGCGTATTGTGGCATTATTAAAATTAGTTCATGCTAGCTTACGTCAAGTTTGAATGCATATTGTGGCATTATTATACCCCCAAAAACGAAGTTTGGGGGGGTATATAGGAGTCACCCGGTGGTCGGTTGGTCGGTCGGGCGGTCGGTCGGGCGGTCGGTCGGTCGGTCCAGACGTCCGTTGCATTTTTCTTGTCCGGACCATAACTTGAAGACTAATGGTTGGAATTCAATATAACTACATACAATGGTCAAGCACATTGAGAGGAAGTGCATTGCACAAGAACCATAACTCTATCTTGACTAATTACAGAGTTATTGCCCTTTGTTACTTTTCCTTGTCCGGGGCATAACTTGAAAACTACTGGTTGGAATTCAAAACCACTTCATACAATTGTCAAACACAATAAGGGGAAGTGCAGTGCACAAGAACCATAACTCTATCTAAAGTAATTACAGAGTTATTGCCCTTTGTTACTTTTCCATTGCTTTCTTTTGTCCGGACCATAACTTGAAGACTAATGGTTGGAATTCAATATAACTACATACAATGGTCAAGCACATTGAGAGGAAGTGCAGTGCACAAGAACCATAACTCTATCTTGACTAATTACAGAGTTATTGCCCTTTGTTACTTTTCCTTGTCCGGGGCATAACTTGAACACTACTGGTTGGAATTCAAAACAACTTCATACAATTGTCAAACACAATAAGGGGAAGTGCAGTGCACAAGAACCATAATCCATCTAAAGTAATTACAGAGTTATTGCCCTTTGTTACTTTTCCATTGCTTTCTTTTGTCCGGACCATAACTTGAAGACTAATGGTTGGAATTCAATATAACTACATATAATGGTCAAGCACATTGAGAGGAAGTGCAGTGCACAAGAACCATAACTCTGTCTTGACTAATTACAGAGTTATTGCCCTTTGTTTCTTTTCCTTGTCTGGGGCATAACTTGAAAATTACTGGTTGGAATTCAAAACAACTTCATAAAATTGTCAAACAAAGTAAGGGGAAGTGCAGTGCATAAGAACCATTACTTTATCTAAAGTAATTACAGAGTTATTGCCCTTTGTTACTTTTCCATTGCTTTCTTTTGTTCGGAGTATAACTTAAAGACTAATTGTTTGAATTCATTATAACTTCATACAATGGTCAAGCACATTGAGAGGAAGTGCAGTGCACAAGAACCATAACTCCATCTTGACTAATTACAGAGTTACTGCCCTTTTTTACTTTTCCATTGCTTTTTTTTGTCCGGAGCATAACTTGAAGACTAATGGTTGGAATTCAATATAACTTCATACAATGGTCAAGCACATTTGAGAGAAGTGCACAGTGCACAAGAACCATAACTCCATCTCTGACAAATTACAGAGTTATTGCCCTTTGTTACTTTTCCTTGTCCAGAGCATAACTTGAAAACTACTGTTTGGAATTCAATACACTTCATACAGTTGTCAAGGACATTAAAAGGAAGTGCAGTGCATAAGAGCCATAACTCCATTTTGACAAAATACAGAGTTACTGCCCTTTGAAGTACTTTTCCTTGTCTGGAGCATAACTTAAAACGTACTGTTGAAATTCAAAACAACTTCAATACAATGGTCAAGCAAAAAAGAGGGAGGAAAAGTGCAACGTGCACAGAACTATAACTCCATCTTCAGTATTTTATAGAGTTATGCCCTTATGTTCCTTTCCTTTGTATTTCTAGACTTTACAGAGTAATTCAAAAAACTTTCTTCAATGGTCAACCCACATTGAAAGGAAATGCAAAGTATACAAGAACCACAACTATCTTTAATTGTGACCCAAACTCATAAAGTTGATCTATATTGTCAATTCTTTTACAAGGATTCTGTTACTAGTAACATCCTCATTTCCGAAGCAGTCTTGTGGGGTATTAATCACATTTAGTGATAGTTCTAGTTAAACATGGATCATGCTAGCTTAGGTCAAGAGTGACTGGACATTGGTGGGCATAATAAACAAAGATCATGCTAGCTTAGGTCAAGTGTGAATGCATATTGTGGCATTTTTGAACTTAGATCATGCTAGCTTAGGTCCAGTGTGAGTGGCATATTGCGACATTATTCTAATCAT